CCGACTGTTCATAGTTTCTTATCCAATGTACAACAGCCGAAGATTTTTACATTCAATCGAATTTTAATTTTAAAACCAAAATGTTTATACCCTCCACCATAGTATGGAGGGTATATTAATTTTGTTTTTCCGTTTGTAACTCATCGAAATAATCATTTCCGACCCTATAAAGTATATCTATTCTTGATCAGCGTAAAATTCTATGACGATATAACCATGTCCGTCTGTCTGTCCGTCTATTGTAATCACTCTGGCGTCTAAACGAATGGAGATATATCACCAAAATTATGCATAGAGTCGTTTTTTGTCTGCAAGCAGGTCATGTTCGAAGATGGACTTTATCGGTCCACGTTTAGGCATAGCTCCCATATAATGGTACCCCTAAATTTTCGGTACTTTGAGGTTCTTGAGCGCGTTTTTCAACTGAATTCGCTGAAATTTGGTACATTGAGTTTTTATTGGGTAGCAAATCTCTCCAATAAAAAATTATAAATATGAGTCCATATTTTCGGATAGACCCCATGTAAGAGTACCCCCAATTTTGCGGTATTTTGGGGGAAATTCGGTACTTTGAGTTTTTATTGGCTAGCAAATCTCTATACTAAAAATTATAAATATAGGTCATTTTTTTCGAGTAGCCCCCATACAAGGGTACCCCCAACTTTCGCTATTTTAGGGTTCTTGGGCGCGGTTTTCAACCGAATTCGCTGAAACTTGGTACATTGGGTTCTTATTGGGTACCAATTTTCCCCACTAAAAATTATAAATATAGGTTCACTTTTTCTGGTAGCCCATATATAAGGGTACCTCCAAATTTCCAGTTTTTGGGGGGTTTTGGCCGGATTTTTTCACCGAATTGGCTGTAATTTAGTAATTTCAGTTATTATTGGGTACCAAATCTCTCCACAAAAAATTATAAATATAGGTAAATTTTTTCGATATTTTGAGGTTCTTGGGCGCGTTTTTTAACCGAATTCGCTGAATTTTGATATTTTGTAGTCGTATATGGTAACAAATCTCCCCATCGAAAATTATTAATATTCACCCCATTTTAGGGGTAGTCCCCATATAACCACCTTTTTATACCCTACACAACTATGTTGTCAGGGTATTATAGCTTTGTGCAGCCCCAAGAGTTTGTAACGCCGCGAAATATTGGTCGTAGACCCACCTTTAAGTATACCGATCATATAATTTCATATCTCGACTAGCTGAGTCGATCTAAACATGTGTGTCCGTCCGCCTGTCTGTCCGTCTGTCCATTATAATTTGTAAACACGATACAGGCCACAGTTATGAACCAATCTTCACGAAATTTTGCATGTAGGATGGGTAAAGATCGGTTAATATTTAGGGGATGAAATGAACCAAATATTCAGTTTTTGTCGGTTTTTCTGGCGCCCCAGAGGCCGCAATTATGGCCCGAACATCGTGAAATTTTACATGGAGAAGGGGATCGGGCCAAAGAATAAACATGCCTGTTTTGATAAAGATCGGTCTATTTTTAGCGGGACAAATGAACCATGACTTTTGTGTGAAAAATTACAGAATTTGGATTCTATGGCGTATATATTTACCCCTGAATGACATAGACCGCTGAATGACATATTATATCCAAGAGGAGTGGTTGAAATTAATACCAATTATATTGTTGTATGTGCTCGGATGTGGGAGTTACACCTAATTATTTACAGGTATCTCCGTATTCGTATATTATTTAGTAACGCATTATCACTCTAGAGAGCGGAACTATAGCGCTGATCGCTTTGAAATATTCGATAAGGTTCCAGTTATGGTCAAGGGCAACGCCTATAATTTTCGGTGAAGATCAGATAATAATTTTGGAATGAAGTGGACCGAAAACTTAATTTTTTGTATTATTTTCGAGTCGATATTTAGACCACAAATGAAAGCCGAACATCACAACACAACCCACGGTGAATGGAATCTGGACAATAGCTGTACTGAATACTCGTAATATTCGGAAAATATGTCAGTGTGACGAAGAGGTGCTGTTTACCTTTAATCGGAAAAGATGATGCAAATATCACGAAATGTTGCCCAGGCTCGGAATAAACATTCGCAGAAAATTTGAGTTCGGTGGTAGTTGTGTAGGGTATCGTATGGTCGGCCCCTTCCGACTATACTGCTACGCTCACTGGTTTATATTAACATTTAGGCATCTCCTCACTATAGTGATACCTCCTTTAGGAAAGAATTGAGATAAACAATTAAAATATTGTGTTCAATATTGGCATATACCGATCATTAATTAGGCATAGCCCTCATATAATGATATCCCCAAATATTCATTATTTCCTACATTATGTAATCAATATTATCCCCCCTATAGGGCATAGCCTCATATAACTTTGTAATCTAAATTACAGTAGTTTGAGGATTTTATACTCTACCATGCGTTATCAGTATCAGTTACAGATTTTAGGAAAAACCCACATTAAAAATTGCAGAAGTTTGTATTTGGTGTACATAATGGTTTACATAAATCGGATTGTAGAATTATCGGTATATGCCCACTTTTTAGTATGTTCCCCATATTTTCATTGCATGTATTTGTCAGTATAACTATGGTGGAGGGTATCCAAAGTTCGGCCCGGCCGATGCTTTTTCACTTGTTTATTATACCCTTCACCACACTGTGGTACAGGGTATTATGTCTTTGTGCATATGTTTGTAACAGGCAAAAGGAAACGAGATAGACACATGGTTCCTTTTGAGAATATGCATAGAATCACTTTCTGAGTCGATTTATGCATGTCCGTCCGTCCGTCTGTCCGTCTGTCCATGTTAAATTGTAAACAAAGTACAGGTCGCATTTATGATCCGAATTGGATGAAATTTGGCATAGGTCAATTATTCGGCCCAAGGACGAACCCTATTGAAATTGGGAAAAATCGGTACAGATTTAGATATAGCTCCCATATATATATTTAACCGATTTAATGTAAACGGTCTTTCGATTTGCACGAAATTTGGTACAGCCTAATCATTTAGGTCTAGAATGATGTCTGTCGAGTTTCGTGAAAATCGGTCCAGATTTAGATATAGCTCCCATATATAGTTTCGTCCGATTTCATGTAAATGGTGCCCCAAAGTCCCTATATATCTTTTGATTTGCACGGAATTTGGTATAACGTGCTGAATTAAGCCTAGAGTGCTGTATGCCAAGTTTGGAGAAAATCGGTCCAGATTTAGATATAGCTCCCATATATAGTTTCGTCCGATTTCATGTAAATGGTGCCCCAAAGTCCCTATATATCTTTCGATTTGCACGAAATTTGGTACAGCCTAATCATTTAGGTCTAGAATGATGTCAGCCAAGTTTCGTGAAAATCGGTCCAGATTTAGATATAGCTCCCATATATAGTTTGGTCCGATTTCATGTAAATGGTGCCCAAAGTCCCTATATATCTTTTGATTTGCACGAAATTTGGCATAACGTACTGAATTAAGCCTAGAGTGATGTCTGCCAAGTTTGGAGAAAATCGGTCCAGATTTAGATATAGCTCCCATATATAGTTTCGTCCGATTTGATGTAAATGATCCACCAAAGTCGCTAAATATCTTTCGATTTGCACGAATTTTGGCATAACGTACTGAATTGAGTCTAGAATGATGTCTGCCAAGTTTCGTGAAAATCGTTCAAGATTTAGATATAGCTCCCATATATAGTTTCGTCCGATTTCATGTAAATGGTGCACCAAAGTCCCTATATATCCTTCGATTTGCACGAAATTTGGCATAACGTACTTAATTGAGCCTAGAATGATGTCTGCCAAGTTTCGTGAAAATCGGTCCAGAGTTAGATATAGCTCCCTTTTATTATAGATTGATTTTAAGTAATTGACGTACTAAGGAACCAATAGGAACAAAACTTTCTGAAATTAGTATAACCTAACCTGTGACAAGTTTGTTTGAAATCGCTCAATATTTGGATAGAGCTTCCATATATATTTTCGCCCGATTTCAAGTAAATTGGGCATCAAACTCCTCATGTTAGTCAGATTGACATCAAATTTTGCACAACTTACAAAATTGAGCATAGAATTACGTAGTTGCGTTTTCTAGAAGTGCAGACATAACCCAACGGATGACCTATTTATATTTGTTTGAAGTCGTGACATACTTTATGGATAGATCTAGGTAGATTCACATTTAGATAAATATCACATTTTTTTCATCCAATTTTATGTTATAGTCCTGTTTAATATACCCATAGTGGTGAAGGGTATCATATAGTCGGCCCCGTCCGACTTTACTACTTTCCTTACTGGGTTTTAAGTTAGAATTTTGAGGTTGAGTAAGTGTATAGTAAATTTCGAACGGGTGTCTGCAATTTTAAAATTGTAAACCGTGCGGCATACCAAATTGCGCGTTAGTCGGTTCACACATAGATAAAGATCACATATTTAAGTTCATTCAATTTCATGTCAATATTCCTTCGAATAGCGGACGTCTATATAAAAGTGGTGAAGGGTATCATATAGTCGGCCCAGTCCGACTTTACAACTTTCCTTACTGATTTTAAAATAAAATTTTGACCCGGCTTAACTTACCGCTCTTTTGTATTTGCCAATAATTTATGAGGATATTTTCTATACTTCAAAATATATTTGGAATAAAATGGTATATAAAACTAATTTTTACACTTACAAACTAATTAACAACATTTGAGGTGTACATTTGAGGTGTAAGATTTAATTGCCGATCCAAAAAATTATTAATGTCAGTCACAATATGTCATATATGTAATAGTTTATCATCAAACGTATCGGCCAAGCCTGTTCATTCACTAATGACTTTTTTATGTTTACTACCTTAAGAACTTTAACATTGCGAACACCAAATCTACACCGCCATAATCCGCCATAAACTCCATCAAAACCACCATCTCCTTTAAGAATTTTGAAAATTTTTACATCAGGAAAAGTCGAGTAACTGCTGTCACCGAAACCTCCCCGAACATGTTTTTGAATTACTTTGATAATCTTCACATCCGGAAAACTGGAGAATCCACTGCCATTGAAACTGCCATAATCTCTAGTAACGCCAGCATCCACTTTAACTTTGACATTGATAATCTTTACAGAAGCAGCAGTGGCATAATCACTGGTGAACCCGCTGGCATAACTGCCAGAGAGCCCACCAACATAGCCGCGGGGAATGCCAATATCATTAACACGCGGAGAGATGACTTGGACATTTTTAACAGGCGCAGCATGACTAAAGCCGTTACTATAACCACCGATGTAGCTCCCATCAATACCACCTCCAACAGCGCCGTCATGGACATCATGAGGAGTGTGTACACCAGCTTTACTGAAAACATTTACTGCTGCGCCACTGCTGGCGAATGCACCTCCGTAACGACCCACGTAAGAACCTCCGACACCGACACCAACACCACCGAATGCATCGGAATAGGCGTTAGAACTACTAACACCGTCACCGATTAGGCCAGCATTTGCTAGGGTTAATACAGTAACAAAGCAAACGAAAACCTGAAACAATCGGAAGAGACAAAGAGAGGGAGAGAAAGATAAAGAAAGAGAAAATAAAAACAAAATAAAATAAAGATTTGAAAACGCTCGCATTTTAGAAATAAAAAGTCATTGCCAATGTTAGGTCAATGCCAACTCACCTTCATGTTGTTAGTATCGTTTATAGATATCATACACATCCAAAACATAGTTTGAAGTTTGTTGAACTGCTGTTCTGAACTCTGAGCTCAGATGAGTGTTGATTGATATTCCGGCAACATTATTTTTGTTTTAAATGCAGGTTGTTTTTTTCTTAAAATTTTACGATATTTTAATTCTTATTTTGATAAACAATTGATATATATTTCTATTAGAATTTTCAATTTATAACCAGTAAGGAAAGTAGTAAAGTCGGACGGGGCCGACTATATGATACCCTCCACCACTATGGGTATATTAAACAGGACTATTAGCATGAAATTGGATGAAATAAAATATGTGATATTTATCTAAATGTGAATCTACCTAGATCTATCCATAAAGTATGTAAATCGACTTCAAACAAATATTAATAGGTCATCCGTTGGGCTATGTCTGTACTTCTAGAAAACGCAACTATATAATTTTATGCTCAATTTTGCACGATGTGCAAACTTTGATGTCAATCTGACTAACATGAGAAGTTTGATGCCCAATTTACTTGAAATAGGGCGAAAATATGTATGGTGCGTCAATTACTTAAAATCAATCTATAATAAAAGGGGCTATATCTATCTAAATCTGGACCGATTTTCACGAAACTTGGCAGACATCATTCTAGACCTAAATGATTAGGCTGTACCAAATTTCGTGCAAATCGAAAGATATATAGGAACTTTGTGGCACCATTTACATGAAATCGGACGAAACTATATATGGGAGATATATCTAAATCAGGACCACTTTTCATGAAACTTTGCAGACATCATTCTAGGCTCAATTAAGTACGTTATGCCGAATTTCGTGCAAATCGAAGGATATATAGGGACTTTGGTGCGCCATTTACATGAACTCGGACGAAACTATATATGGGAGCTATATCTAAATATGGACCGATTTTCTCGAAAGTTGGCAGACATCATTCTAGGCTCAATTCAGTACGTTATGCCAAATTTCGTGCAAATCGAAAGATATATAGGGACTTTGGGGCACCATTTACATGAACTCGGACGAAACTATATATGGGAGCTATATCTAAATCTGGACCGATTTTCTCGAAACTTGGCAGACAGCATTCTAGACCTAAATGATTAGGCTGTACCAAAAAAAGCGGCGATTCTGGTTTAGATGGAAAAATTTTGAAGCGGTTACAATATCGCAAGACCTGTGCATCATATTTTTGCTCGTTCCGCTCAAAATGTCGCGGCTATATTTCTCGTCATTCTCAGGAAATACGACTATATTATGGCACATTATGACCTATTTTGCATTTAGATCTACAACTCTGTCCATATAAAGTCCAGCTCACGCATAAACTAGAACCATATGATCGTTCACACCGTCGTAAATTTTCTTCAGCGATGAAGCATATTAGAATCGTTGAAAGTGGTTTAAGATTTTTTAAACGTTGATAAAATCTTATTATTTTTAAAAACGTTTTGTAGAGCTATGGCCACTAATTACAAATGTGAAATTCGATGTTGAAAATCAAGTAAAGTGGATTCAAAATTGTGAATTAATTTAAAACCAGTTTGGGTATATTCAGCAGATGAATCCTAACAGACGTCGCATTTTTAAAAGACAAGTAAAGTGAAATTGGATCCATAAACATGTCATTCTGCAACCGATACTAAATTTTTCATTTGGTCAGATATAGAAGCTATATGTAAATCTGAACCGATTTCAGGAGATTTAACACACATCATTTTAGACTTAATTCATTACGCTGTGCCAAATTTCGTGCAAATCGAAAGATATTAAGGAACTTTAGTGCACCATTTACATTAAATCGGACGAAAATATATATGGGAGCTATATCTAAGTCTGAACCGATTTTCAGGAAACTTAACATGCATCATTCTAGACCTAATTCATTACACTGTGCCAAATTTCGTGCAAATCGAAAGATATATAGGGACTTTGGTACACCATTTACATTAAATCGGACGAAAATATATATGAAAGCTATATCTAAATCTGAACCGATTTTCAGGAAACTTAACACACACCTTTCTAGATCTAATTCATTACCCTGTGCCAAATTTCGTGCAAATCGAGAGATATATAGGGACTCTGGTGCACAATTTACATTAAATCGGACGAAAATATATATGGGAGCTATATCTAAATCTGAACCGATTTTGTCGAAACTTGGCACACATAATTCTGGGCCTAATTCAGTACTCTGTGCCAAATTTCATGCACATCGAACAATATATATGGACTGTGGTTCACCATTTACTTTAAATCGGACGAAACTATATATGGGAGCTATATCTAAATCTGAACCGATTTTCTCGAAACTTGGCACACATCATTGTGGACCTAATTCATTACTCTGTGCCAAATTTCATTCAAATCGAAAGATATAGAGGGACTTAGGTGCCCCATTTACCTTAAATCGGACGAAAATATATATGGGAGCTATATCTAAATCTGAACCGATTTTCTCGAAACTTGGCACACATCATTCTGGACCTTATTAAGTACTCTGTGCCAAATTTCATGCAAATCGAAAGATATAGAGGGACTATGGTGCCTCATTTACCTTAAATCGGGCGAAAATATATATGAGAGCTATATCTAAATCTGAACCGATTTTTCCCAATTTCAATAGGATTCGTCCTTGGGCCAAATAAGTGACTTGTGCCAAATTTCATCCAAATCGGATTATAAATGCGACCTTCGACTTAAAGAGTGATTCTATGCATATTCTCAAAAGGAACCATGTGTCTATCTCTATGCACAAAGACATAATACCCTGTACCACAGTGTGGTGAAGGGTATAAATATATTGTCAGGATCGAGAATGAACTATATCGGCCCGCATTTAGGCCTAACCCCCAATTAATGATACTTACCGCTTTCCTGTATTTTTATACCCTGCACCATCGTATGGAGGAAATATTTATTTTGTCATTCCGTTTGTAACTCATCGAAATAATATTTTCCTATTTTTTCTTGATCAGGCTAAAAATCTAAGACAATCCAGCCATGTTTGTCCGTCTGTCGGTTCGTCCTGTAGGTCAAGTTCGATGATAGGCTATAACGGTCCACGTTTAGGCATAGCCCCCATATAAGGGTACCGCCCAATCTTGAGCGCGCTTTTTACAGAATTCACTGAATTTTGTACATTGGGTTCTTTTTGGATACCAAATGTCTCCACTAAAACTTATAAATAAAGGTCCACTTTTTCTGATAAAATTATAAATATAGGCCCATTTTTCGGGTAGCCCCTTGAGCTCGTTTTCAACCGAATTCACTATAATTTGGTATTGTCGCATATGGTAACAAATCTTCCTGCCAAAAATTATTAATATTCGTCCCCTTTTAGGGGTAGTTCCCATATAACCCTCTTCATATACATATTAAAACCGTTAGCTGATTCGTTGCGTGTGTAGGGGTTGCCCACATATAGGCGTATTCTACTATATAGGAGATAGTCGTTACTCGAAATAGTCAGTTTTACCGGTTGAATTCATTCCGCTTTCTAAACAAATCGTGATAAAAAATTCGAACCTTGGCATCTCCCCCATATAATTATACCTCTTAAAGGAAGAAAGTAATTAAGACACAAAACAAAAATTTTGGGTTCAAAAATGACATATGTCGGTCATTAATTAAGCAATTAAGCAATAGGTAATTCCTACACTATGTAATCTAACTTGGTAATCTAAATTGTAGTAGTTTGAGGTTGTATTTGGTGTACATAATGGTTTACATAAACCGGTTTGTAGAATTATAGGAATTAACGTTTTTTCACTTGTTTATATTAAAATAGTTATTTGATTTGTTCCGCGACTTCGTGGATATGTCAAATTCGGGCTTGGACAATAAGTGTGGACGACAATTTTTCAACCAACCTACTATTTATAATTCGTCAAGTTATGGCTGAAATACCAACCAATATGTGCAAATAGTTAACAAATATGGGTCGTTATTCGGAATTGAAATTCAAAGCTAAAATTTTAGGTGCGAAAATGAGCCAACATATTATGAAACCTCCCGAGTATAGAAGTAGTCGATATGATAATTTTAGACATGTTTTCCGTTTCCATCATTATTGGTCCACGTTTAAGTGTTTTAAGATTTTAGGAAAAATGATGGGGTTTATGGATCTACTTTTTTGCATAGCCCCCCTATAACGGTCTTTGGACCATATTTCATAAATATTGACATCTGAAGTTATTTAAAGAAAAATTTACATACGTCAGAATCAATTCATATCGAACAAAACTATATATCTAAATCTTAACCGATATCAACAAAACTTAATTTAGCGAATTGATTTCAGTCTAGAATAGCGCTCAATTTAATTTCTTTGCAATATCATGAAATCGTATTTTTATACCCTCCACCATAGTATGGAGGGTATATTAATTTTGTTTTTCCGTTTGCAACTCATCGAAATATTCATTTCCGACCCTATAAAGTGTATATATTCTTGATCACCGTCTGTCTCCTGTAATCACTCTAGCGTCTAAGCGAATTGAGATAGATCGCCAAAATTTTGCATAGAGTCTTTTATCTGGAGGCAGGTCAAGTTCGAAGATGGGCTTTATCGGTCCACGTTTAGGCATAGCTCCCATATAATATAAGGGTACCCCCCAATTTTCGGTATTGTGAGGTTCTTGAGCGAGTTTTCAACTGAATTCGCTGAAATTTGGTACCTTGAGTTCTTATTGGGTAACAAATTTCCCCACTAAAAATTATTAATATAGGTCACCTTTTTCTGGTAGCCCCCATATAAGGGTGCCTCCCAATTTCCAGTTTTTGGGGGGTTTTGACCGGATTTTTTCACCGAATTGGTTGTATTTTAGTAATTTGAGTTCTTATTGAGTAGCAAATCTCTTCACAAAAAATTATAAATATAAGTAAATTTTTTCGGGTAGCCCCCAATTTTCGATATATCGAGGTTCTTGAGCGCGTTTTTCAATCGAATTCGCTGAAAGTTGTTATTTTGTAGTCG